CTCTCTGTCTCTGTCTCTTTTTCGCTTTAAAACGAGACGGAGAGAAATATATAATAAATAACAATAAATGAAGGGCGAAGTAAGAGTCAGCGCATTCCTTTAAAAAGACATAATTAAAGACATAAATTAAAAGTATAGAAAAGATAAAAAAAAGAAAAGATGTACACTAAGAAATAATAATGGTCATAATTCATACCATTTCCATTATGTTAACATCTGAAGAGGGCTCAATCCGGTAGCCGAAACTTATAATGTTATATATTTACCTTTCACCATTATTATTTCTTAGTATACATCTTTTCTTTTTTTTTTATCTTTTCTATACTTTTAATTTATGTCTTTAATTATATGTCTTTTTAAAGGAAACGCTGACTCTTACTTCGCCCTTCATTTGTTGTTATTTATTTTATATACAAAGAGTTCTTGTATTTTTGTTATATATACATATATATTAACAGTAAGTTATATAAAAGCTTTAATAGCTACAAGTTTTAATTAATATCAGAGCTACATTTATACAAACATAATGTTTTTGAGGAAATATATAGGAAATAAATGTATTATGTATATATTATATAAAGATGTAAATAATTATATATTTACTATCAATAAGATTTAAAATAAGTTCGTGAAGAAGAACGTTTCGCGAATTACTTACGAGAAAAATATATTTTAACAATTATAGAAAAAGTCAATGAATGATATGAAAGTAAAATATTAATAAATGAGAGAAGCAATCGCGAAAGACCTTGCTGTGTAATAACATTGTAATTTTAAATCGATTTGCGATTAAATGATTGTATACTTGATGTAAAATTACCGCAACTTAGGTACTTAAATTACATAATCTCTGCTGCCGGTAATACGCTGAGAAGATTGCACATGTGTGCAGAGTTTGTAGTTTGCGCATGTTCAAGAGGATCTTAAGACATGATTCGATTATTTATGAAGTGCGTGATACAAAATTACATGCGCATCATTACTTATACGTTACTTCAAATTGTTGAAGCTAAATAATTTGCGCGCGATAAGTAACAATTTATGCACAAGTAAACTAGTAATAACAAAGTTATCGTTCATCGTTTAATATATAATAGAAAGAATAAAATAAAAAATGTTATTATATCCTATACGTAATAATAAATTAACATTCTTCTATTAAAAATACTGTTATATTTTATTTGACACTTCTGTAAAAAATATTCTGAATAATAATAAATTAAACATCGTTGCATCGTGTTTTAACAAACTCTGTGATGCGTAATCGCCGAATAATCTTATAAAGAATGATTTCCATCACAAGATCGATATGAAACTATTAAATCGACGGTAATCCTGGATAATTTTTGGAGCGGTATTTTGCGCGTAGAAACGGGATCGTTTCATTAGCGCGGCACAATGGCGGAGGTTGGATAAATGATGAGCAATAATGAAACATTAATGGCGCAGTCAGTTTGAAATGACGACGCCAACTAACTATTCAATACTATATTTCCCAGCCTCATTTCTGTTTCGCCGAATAACCGTTTTGATATTAATTTGCCATTACACGCAGGTACAATAAATATACTATTTCCGCAAATGACGACAAAGAATAGAGTAGCGATATAATAATCTATGCACAGTTAGATACTAAAATTAAATTTTTTTATTATAATTCATTTTTCAAATGAAAATATATTGAATCGTAAAAGAGCGTAATATCTAATTTAAGTTGAAGCAATATAAAAGAATAACTTTATAAGTTTTAAAAGTATTAACCATTATTTTTATCTTTATCTTTGCATAATTGTTTCATAGAGATATATATTCCTAGAATTTTTCGTCATTAAATGGTCAAGTTAAATCTCCTATATTTTTAGATGCTTAAATGATTGAATATTTAAAGGTCAGCGCAGTAAAATTTTTATGAATTGAAATCTCATTCAAGTCGTTTTGTACAATTTTTTAATATTTAAATTAATGCCTCTCAAATTAAAAATATCTTATATTTTACGCGACTTAAATTATTAACCACACAAATATATTATTGTGATTATGTTACTGTTAAATATATAATAATTATTATTATTATTTGTTATTATCAGTGTCTGATTACAGCCTGATTATAACGCGATTACTGACATATAACACGCTCATAATATTTTTAAACATTAGCAAAAAAAGTTTGTTTCTTCTACCAGGTCGACAGATATTTGTCCGAATTTTCGTGAAAAGTAAACGCGAGTATCTTTCATCGTCGTCCACATTGTAACGCCAGCGAAAACAGCGGAAACGCCATGTTCGATGCGTTAGCTTGCGAAGCGGAACGATTGTGTTTGGATTGTCGAGCGGTTAAGCTGAAAAAGCCGCTCAACATCGAAAATGAATTTCCAAACGCGTATCGCATATTTTCTCCGACACTTTTATAGCTCAATGACGCGTATCGCGCAATGCGATGGGGCAAGCTCAATTCGCTAATACCAGCGTGACCGCAGACGGCTCTATCAGCCTGATGTCGAGCGGTTTCGTGGATCGGCAATTCGATATTGGCAGCAACAATTGAGAAATTAAAAGCAAGATGTATTAAATGAAACGTAAAACTTAATTTCCGGAAATAAGATTGATTAGAAAGAATTTTTCTTACCATTCATAAATAACGGACTTTGAAACTTCTTTATTTATTAATGGTTGAACGGAAATCTAATGCGATTCATTTTGCGTAATGGGAAGAACAGGTTAACAAGAAGAATAATCAATTACAGTTTTAAATCAATTTTATCGCACATGGCTTGGCGCGTGGTATTAATACCAATTAAATGGCATAATTGGCGAATTCGTTTAAAAGATGGAGAGATTGGCAGATGTATCATGTAATCCCGTTGGCAACAAAGCAATACACGTTTTTACGACTCATTTTATAATAATAGATCTTCGATGATTTATGAGTCAGAATATTTTTTCCGACTAATATTTCACACAACGCTTTCTGCACATCTATAAATCTAAAGAGATGCTTCTTCATTACAGTATCTAACGATGATATGCATTTGTGACGGATAGCGAAAATGTCGACTTGGGTAATGCCGATATGTAATGGCGGATGGGGGTTTTACTTCCGGATGTGAAAAGCAACGAAAAAAAGTACGTATCGGAGCGAAACCGAATTTCATCGCGTGGATGCGTAGCTGTAGTTCGTCAAAACGTTACGTCCCACCCATGCGTAGATTTTAAAATCAAAGCGACCCGACACACGTTCTCGTTTTGTCTCCCTTGTCTATTTCGCTCGTTTACAAGCGAAAGTCGTTTGCGCCAATTTGATTTATCCTCTCTCTTTTTTTATTTATAATTCTATCGAACTTTTGCATCGCTGATCTTTATTGCCACTAACGCGCGAGCGCCCGTCTAAATCGGTAGCTTCCGGCTAAAAAAAGCGCATACGCGGAAAGCGCTGCTGCGCGCTAAATTTCCTCATGCCTAAAGGTGAAAAATATCGAGAGAGGGAGGAAGAGAAAGAGAGATAAAGAGACAAAGTTAAAATATATACTGTTTAAATGTACAGTAAGCATTTATTGTGTACTCACCATTAGCATTGATTCCCATGGCATCCATCGAATCGGTAATGGAGGACGTCCTTCGACACGGAAGTAATCCGCCGCATATGCGCTTCGTCCGCTACCCAAATCAGATACTTTAACCGTGCATCCGCGGCACACTAAACAATTTCTGAAAAAAATTCACAAATACTCGTCTCTTAATTTTTGTGAAGCACCTTTTTCATCCTACTGTGTAATATATACCGAAATATTTCCACTCGCGATTTTTAAACTGGAAAACAATAGAATTATTTTTTGATCAAATTAACACTTCCATTCTTTTTATTAACGCTGGCCATGAGATCTCTGCTAACTGTACAACTATGCAATATTCTATCGGTTCGTATCGGTTCGTATACTGCTAAATGAATATGTGTTTGTACGTTCTATTTTTTATATTCTGCACGTGGCAGTCATATCAAAAACAAACAGAGTAGTTTATCGAAATATCGTGCGAGCATAACTAAACGCTAGTTTTCCAGTTTATGATTTTTTTTTCTGTACAGTTGGAAATAGATTTTAAATTGATTATTATTTTTTAATTCACAATTCTTTATCATTATAAATATATTCTACCTTTTAGTATATGTATCGACAAGACGTATTATAAAAAAATTATAAAATAATTGAAGAAAATGAGAAGAGATGAGAATCTTTAAAATGTTAGAGAAGAAATTCTTCAATAATTAACGGATAAATTTCTTCAATAAAATACAGTGACTGTGGATGGCTGATGCGTGAAATCGCTTCCTGGGAGCTCACATTTAAGCAGCTCACAATAGGTTCGTTGCGAGCATGTTCCAAACGACGGTCGTTCCAAGTTTCGCGCTGATTTGCACGTAAACCTCGTCGTTTATCGCGCTCCACGGTAAAGGGGTGATTCGTGAGACGACGAGGGGATGCCACGATGCTTTTATTTTACGCGCACCGGTGGGTATTTTCACACCCGTTGTCAACGTCTGCGCCTTCTGCCTGATTTGCTGGCAAGTTTTTCTACTTCTGGTACTATAAAAATCTTGCTCGTTCTTTTTTTGTTCTCTCGAGCATTCAAATTCAATCAGGCTGTTTTACAATTTTTGGAATCGCTTCGAAATCGTGCAAATCTGTGCAGTATGTTAATTTATATAAATTTCAGTTACACACACGCACACACATGGACATTTCCGTCAGAAGAATGATTGCGTGGGAATACGAAAAGAACAGTTTTGTTGAAGTATTTAAAAGTTTAGACAGACGTAAACCTGAAAATAATTTTCTTAAACGATGAAAGTAACGTAACATGCTCAAAATAATTGCTTAGAATGTCAAAATATTTTGCAATATTATTCATTATCCTTGAGCAGCCTACATATATAATTATTTTGATAATCCAACGAAGTTATTTTCAAATCTGTATCTATTTAAATTTTTAAATATTCCAATAAAATTGTTCTTTCCGTACAAGGTACATGGGAAAAATTCATAAAAATGATAAAAGATGTCAAATATCTATTACGAGAAATCTGTAATATTCTCAAGAAATATATACGATACTTGAATTTGCGACACAAAAATAGATTTATTTTGAATTTATTATTCTTCATTCCCATTCTGCCATTAGTAATAATTCTCAGACATAATATCCATCGTTTATTTCGCAGTAGTAGAACTAGTATTTCGCCGGTTGCCGCATTCACCATTAGAATTTAACCCTGAACCCACTTCTATAAATCACGAATAAATTGCGCCCCTTTCGTCTAGCTTCTTGTACCCTCGCTACAGTCGCGACAACGATCGCGCCACGGGGCATGATAATTAAGGTTTACGATTAGAGTTAATAATTCGAACACACGGCCCAAACCCTTCCGGCCTATCTCATCCCCCCGCTTTTAATAGCTCTACCTACGATATTGGTTGTCGTGCCACGCTGCCGGCGCTACTGGGTTTCAAGAGTTTCCAAATCGTATGGAGGGTGGAAAAGCACGGTCTAGGGGTACGCGGAATCCATTACGTATATCGAAAGAGAATGAGACGATAAAACAATCGGCCGCCGTAATAAAGCAATCCCATTGTAATGCCCAGAGGCAAGCTTTCGTACGCTTACAAAAAGATCGAATAGAGTATGCATTTGTTTGTTTGCTTGTTTGAATACATGAAACGATTCCGTCTAGCGATCATTGCGAATCACTGCAGACAAATTAAAGCATTCGTCTGGAAACGAAATTAAGATTGGTGAAATTCAATTGATTTTCAAACAAAGGATGTAGGTGCAGTTATATTATAATCGAATATATTATTTTTAATTATTTCACATACTGAATGTATGTAATTATTGTAATCATAAACATGCAAGGAAAATTGCGTGAATATACGGAAAAAACTAATGTTATATTAACAGAGGTTGCATTAGTTTAATTGAAAATAATTCAATAACAGCAATAATGAAACAAACAAAATATTTTATTAAAATAAGAGCATAATATATTTATTTCATTAATATTACTTTCGCGCGCGCGCGTGTGTGTGTGCGTGTGTGTGTGTGCGTGTGCGTGTGTGTGTTTGTGTGTGAATTAACAAGATTATTTTCAATTAGAGTAATGCTGTTAATACAACATCATTTTTTCCATTTATCAATTTTTCTTAATTTCAAAAACCAACATATAAAAAATATTAATGTCATATCTCAACAGTCTATTTGTTTCGCCATGTATGAAAATGTTAAAAAAATCGTCTTTTTCACATTTATTATAGTAACATAAAAAAAAAGGAATTAGGTATAGTTCATCGGGGATATCATTTTATTCTACACATTCGCTCTCATATAAGCTTATCGGGGCGAAAGGAAGATTGACGAGTTCTGTGGTACATGTATTTAGTTTCGCTTTCACGACTGCAATAATATGGCAAACAACAACTTGCTCATTAATGAGCAAGCCCTCAAAGCAACTTATGGGAAACAGTGCACGCTTACCTTGTGGCGAGATCCCGATGCACGAAGTCCATTTCCTCGAGATACTTCATGCCGGATGCTATTTGCGTGGCCATGTAAACCAATGTGCCGAAACTGCAACACGAAGAACGGGGTCGGTTACGCTGTGAAGTTTACTTGGAGAAACTCCTCGGTATACATAGAGGCGTTTGTAGCAAGCAACGCCACAAACAGCGGACACTCGACCGTACCAGCCGTAGTCAACCAACATTTTTGACGCAAGTAAAATAAGATATTCCCGTTACTTAAATTACTTTATAAAGTAAATCAAGGAATCCAAATTAACTTGTCATACTTTTTTCTTTCGTACATGAAGACATATTTTGTTTTTTATAACTAAGAGTGACGTGAATTATTACAATGGAAAATATATTTAAATATAGATATATTTTTCCCCATATTATTAAATTTGTCATGTCAAATTATATTCAGTTTAATTTATTTTTTAATCATCTGTATAGATCGCTATTACTTTTATTTAACATCGTTTAATTAAACTAAAACCACAGTCAAACAATTTAAATTAAGAAAATGTATTAAATTTGACTAAAATTTAGTTTATTATTTGCTAAGTGTATACGTTAATATGAACGTTGCATACTTTGAAACTAACCACAGAAATGGATTAATTTACATCTTAACACACATAGAAATTAAACAATAAAATGTTATTTAACTCAAGAAATTATCATTACTTCTTTAGTATCTAATAGTGCAAGTTGGAAATAAATAAGACATAAGTGTACATTTGATCAGTCTAAATTATATATATATATATATTTTCACTTGAAATTTGTAGCAAAAGAGATTGAAGAAATTTATTCTTCATGTTTGTATATAGCAGATTTATTTTTGTATTGTTCCTATTTCCAGCAAAATTGAATTTGAAAATCGGGTAAAGTGCGACAAACGTACGCGTTGGTTACGATCGGGTGTTAGCATTCGTTCGTACTCGTTGAGGACGACGGTAGGTACTACGTTTTTAGTATTTACGTTTGTAGAATGCAAACCATTTACATCGAAACGACTCTGCGTGCTATTTCTACGAAAGATACGCCAATAGAGTCGTTTCGGTGGTAACATATCGTTCGAGGTAACATATCCTACACTTAACGTTGTTACGACATAACTGTAGGTTTATATGTATATATATGAAACGAGAGCAATAATATGTAAAAAAGATTGCAAGAAGAATCCATATATAATTGGTTAATGCGTCAATATATTTATCTTGTTGGTCAAATAAACATTTGTTTTAGAAATTGAAGAATTTGAGTTCCCTGCTTACTTATAAAACGGAAGTTATTATAATACGGAAGTGTCTAATGTTTAATCGAGCAACAGCATATGTACGCGAAAAGATTTTGCTAAAGTATCTAAAATTTTAGCTAGACACAAATCTGTAAATAATTTTGTTGAATCATCAAAATAATTGGACACTCAAACTGGTTTGCTAGAGTGTCGAAATTTCGTACAGTATTACTCATCATGCTTGAGATTCTTATAAAATTATTTGAATGGTTTAACAGAATTATTTTTAAATTTGTATCTAGCTAAATTCTTAGATACTTCAGTAAAATCGTTTTTTCCGTATAAATCTCGCAACATTCGCGCTTTATATTAACAATAATTTGCTGTTGATTTTTCCTTAATGAAAGTATCAATAGGGTAACTCTCCGGCTAATACGCCGCGCTGGGATTTACGTAGCAGAAATCAGAAAAAATAGAAAGAGTTAATTTTCCCGCAACTACTCTGTTACATGCCTTTATGTTATATTAGTATTGTGTTATGACATCAGCTTCTTACTGTTAATATTAATGAATTTATTGTGTGTTGAATCGATTTGTCACTTTAATAAATAACGCCATCATAAATGATAATCTATACAAATGATTACTGTAGGGCGCGTAAAAGACTTAGTGGTTATTTCGTGATACATATGTGTAGTGGAATAGTAAAGCATGTTGTGTAGCAAAATACAAATGCTTTGTTTTTGTATTCTTTGTTTAGTTTGTCTTGTATATCCCACCTGTTTGGGATATACGGTATTTTTAGCGAGCAGGATTTATGCTCAAAGCATACGAAGTGTGCAGATTGAATTCAGTGCACTAAATGCAATAAACGGAATATATGAAATATGTACCTTATGTCATAACACTTGTAATATATGTAGGAAAATTATAATTATTTTTTATTACGTCATATATTTACTATTCTTATTAATAAAATGTTATAAACATTTTATTAGGTGTAGTAAAAAGTCATCGCGTTTTTTTAAAAGACATCTATCAGTAAAAACCGCAATTACTTTCTTACCAACAATATAAATATATCTTAATAGAGTAAAGTTTCAGCTTTAAAAATCTCTTTTTTAAATTATACGATACGACAATTTTTAATGGAGTTATGAGCAATTAAAGTCAAAATAATTCTTTTATTTAATCCGCGATAACTCAGTAATCAAAAGTCGTAGGAATATTAAAAAAAAACGATTTTGTAGGGAAAGTATCAAGCTTTCACGATAGGTAATCGAAAATTTTCTCAAATTCGTTTTGGACACGTTACAAATCCACAAAGTGAGAAGAAAATTTTTCGTCTTTTTCAGCTCGTAGTTTTTGGTATGTAAAAATTATCAAACTCATATAAACTTAAAAAATGTGATAAGCTTTTAAAAGTAGAGATTTCAAGCTTTAAAACCTTTTTTTTAAATTTGAATTTCATTCATTATTGACGAAGATATTGTATATACAACTTTAAGCTAAAAAATACGCGATGACTTTTTACTACACCTAATATAAGTTATTGTGTCATTATACGTCTTATTTATATGCATTATTTGTAAATTTTTCATGAGGTGTACATATCCCCTCTCTTTCTGTGAGTAGCTATATATCCCACTCTTATAGCATATATGGCAAAAATGCAAGAGTTTCGAAAAGTTTATTTTTTAATATGAAAAATAAATATTTCGGATATCTAATATTTTTTTCATAGAGTAGTAGACAATATAAAGTTTTTACTGATATAATTCGTTTTCTATAAATATAGCAAATAAATATAACAAATACTTCGTTTTCTATAAATATAGTAAATAAATATAGCAAATAATACTTAATAAATTAAGTTTTTAATACGTGCGGCGTATATACCGAAGTTACCCTATGCTCATTTAATACTGAGTGATCATATATTATTTAATTATATAATACATGTCTTATAATGTGCAAAACGATATAACATATTAATTGCATGAATTGAACTTAATTCTTATATATGATCAAACGGAAACAGGGCGAATTTTCAATTTGTACGATTTGTGTCTAATACCGCGCCGTGTAAAAATTTGCTGGGCGACTTAGCGTCGTGATTCTTAAAGCTTCATTTGCGATGTCGGCGAATGCAATTCGGTTACCGGCATAGAAAGTGACTGTACTGAAAGCTAGGCTATTCTGCCGGTCCTGGATATTGGATTCGTTCATGCGACAAACTGACTGCAGTTAAAACGGCGGACTCGCTGAAATAAATGAAAACGATTTCGTTTATGAATGACAGTACAGCATATATCAGCAATTTAATTAACCACTTCGATACTGTCGTAGCTATAGCTATTAAGAGCTGTTAAGTTGTTGAAATATGACAACATAATAACGTTGCACATTGTGCGATTCGTGCGAGCAAATTAATATTATATATGTTTTTCGAGTTTTTCGAAAAAATTAAATTGCTGAAAATATCTATAACGTCTCGCGTATTATTGTCATAATTAATAAACGTCAATTTTGTTTTATGTCTTAATTATAGGTACAGTCTTAACGCAATGTATAGTATTACGAATTGCGAAAGAAAAAAACTGCAAAAGAAACAAATTAATCTGCAAACAATAGGATGAGAAAGTATAACGATAATATGTGTATAACTAGTTTTTTTACTATTACAATTGCAAAATATTAAATGGTGCTATTCGTATTGCATAGGCACGAATGATTGCATATCCCCGTACATCAATATTTTCCGCGGCACTCGATGGGAACAAAGCGTGATCTCCGGCGGCTGCTTCATCTCGCGCGAAAGCTGAAAACGATCGCGCGGGAAAACACGCTTCGCCGACACCTGTCACGAGCACCGATGATCCTCTCCGTCGCTCACCTCTCATTTTCAGCCGATTTCTCGTATTTCGAGTACTTTCCGCGTAGTCCTGGTCATCGTGCGTTTTCACGCGTCCTCCGGACTGATTGGAACTGACGTTCTTCGCGGCGACAGAATAAAACAAAAATTCGCACGATCGCGTTCGACTGGGAGGCCTATTGTGGAATTGCTCGAATGCTATCATCCTGCATTTACAGCAACGTAAAAAGTAATCATTCCACGTCACGTACGCATGTACACACGGGAATTATTCATTGTACGTTTGACGTTTTCACGATATTGTAACAGTATTTCGTGTAAAAAATTTCGATAAACAACTTTATAATTATATAACATGACGCATTACAATCTTGATATTTTCATTATTTTAATTGGTTTAGTCAATTAATGAATATACGGTATTTCAATTCGTTGTTAATTAATTAAGTACATTTTATTGTATTTGTTTTAATTAAATGGATTTATTATCTGTCGATAATGAAGGTGATGCCATAATAGGCACAACAATTTACGCGGAAGTACGGTGATCGTATCAACGTGAAATTTAGGGCATGTCGAAATATGGTTCATTGATTTTATGTCAAAATGGTGATGATCACATAATTGCATATCTATTTCGGATGATATGTTATTTACTTCGAGTGTCGCAATGTCGATTGGCAGTGTGCATTAAAGCGGACATCGATAATGTATCGCTTTTAAAATGATACGATGGTACCGATGTTACAAATTATTCCACGCCGTAGTATCAAATTTGTGTTCATTAAATTATGTTAATTATTCGAATAACGATCGTACATATTCAAGATATATATGCATTTTTTGTTATATAATATATACACCTTTAACCACATACGAACCGAATTCCTCAACGATCTTTTAAAAACGTAACGGCACGTATTTATGAACAACCAAGGACTAATATGGGGTGTATTCTTTGATAATAAAGCGTGCATCACATCTAAAATGTGATGTAATGACATCGATACATTGTCAGTGAATAAATACACACGCACACATACATTTATATATATGTAAATACATTTAAGTACATATAACCGGACCTTATATGGCCTAATTTTCATGACATGATCTGCTCACTGTTTGTGAGTAATTACATGTAAATTCAACAGATAGCACCATTAAGTCGTGCAGACTGTTTGATTCAGTTGCATCAATTTATTGCTCAGTTTGTTCATTCTGTTATTGTCAGTAAAGCAAAATGGAAAACATCTAGGTCACGATGTAATATTTCATAGGTAAATAATTGCTTTCTATAACTACTAAGAGATGGTTATTAATTTCCATAGTATATATTGTAGCTCTGTATACTTTACAACACTGTATTCAGTTTATATTTTCGTCACAAGGTTTTGTTTGCAATCAAAGAGAGGAAATTCTTTGTAAGGTAGAAACAATATGGTCAATCTAGGCATACTGAATGTACACCTGTTTTTTCCTATTTTTATTCTATGGATTTTAATTCATCTGTTAAACATCGTGGAGTTAAGTAAATAAGCAGATAAGTAAATGAGTAGAAGATTAGAAAATAGTTCTTTGTAATGTTTATATATAT